GTTAACTACTTTGAAAACAGAGTTTCAGAATAAGGGGCGGCTTTACCAACGTGCTTCTGGTGGCCAAATCATGGGTTTCCCCCTTTGTCTCTCCTTGAAGATCTGGTTCCAATAACTCAGGTCATAGAGAGTTCAGAAAAGGGGTGGCTGCTGCTGTGGATTGGACCCAGGCCTCCTGAGAGCACCACCCAGAAGAAACAAGAGAGCAAAATATACTTCCCCCCCCCCTTTCAGTTGGCTATCCTTGTGCTCCTCAGGGGATAGCCAAAGGAAGGCAGTTCCTTGCTTTCCTAATGTGGGGGAAACAAGTCTCCCCTGATGCTCACTTGCCTGCTTCTCTGGCCATCCTGAGTCCAGTGGACACTGCCAAAGAAGCAGGCGTGCAAGCAGAGGTGACTCCTGGTGGTAAGTACAGTACAACTCTTGCTGAGGAGGCAAGCTCTCTGTGGACATCCTGTCCACTGCTTCCTCAGGTGATAGTGGCACACCACCTCAGATAGCAGTGGGGACCTTCTCCTCAGATGGTGGTTACAACACCTTTGGTAAGCATCTGGGCAGCACTGTTGGGGTTCCTCTGAGGAACAAGGAGCTCCTGGTTCTTGACTTTGGTCTTGTTTTGAATTATTGCTGTGTTCCTTGTGGGAAAAGTGGTTGGTGGTGGTTGGACTGTGGCTCTCCAGGTGCTGCTGAACTCCGTCTCCCATCAGCCCAGCCCCCTTGCATGCTCAGTGATCAGGGTGGCAGTCCAGCGACACCTGGAGAGCCATAGGTTGGCCAAATCTATTTTAGAAGGCCCTCACAGCTCATAGCGCAGGCCACTGGCTGATAACTGCCTCTATATATGCTCACAGGGTCCTGAAGGTGGAAGGAATAAAAAGTCAAAAGGTTGCCCTGAAGAAGAAAGAAGGCCAAAAAAGATATCCACTTGGGAGGGGGGGGATGGAGACATGCAGAGGCAACAGGTGAGCCTCCATATAGGATAGCACGTGTGTGTGGGGGAACACACGACTACAACGCAGACATGAAAACCCAGGGGAAAAAAAGATAGATGATACTAGTTAAGGATTTCGGTCGCTTCCTGTGAAAGGTGGCTTTGGTCGTATTCGCAGGTTAAAGTTAAAAAAAGACACCACCGTCCTCCACCACCACCACCACCAGGGTTGGAGGGATGGGGGCAAGCCCAGCTTGGACAGCCGGCAACGTCCCGGTGGGGAGGCGCCGTGCTGGCTCGTGGGGCTGGTGGGAAGGGTCTCTTGTTTCTCTCCCCCCTCAACGGGCGGGAAGGAAGAGCTCCAGCTCGCCCCGCGTTGCCTAACTNCGCAGCCTGTCTGGGCGCCCTCCGCGCCGCCCAAGCCACGCTAATTGGCTGGCCAATGGCGAGGCCTCCCAAGAATTTTAGCGTGGCCCTCGGCGTCCTCATTGGCTGGCTGGGGAAGGTCTGGGGAGGCTGAGCGTGCCGGAGCAGGACTGCAGTGCACGCCGCCAGCCTCGGCGCATTGGACCGTCGTGGGATGATGGGGCGGCTGGCCGGAGGCGGAGGGCTGGGCGCCGCTGAACCCCCGGTGGGTGAAAGGCAGCTGTTTCTGCCGCCCGGGGCCCTTGGGTGTGTGCGTGTGTGTGTGTGTGCGCGCGTGCGTGTGCGTGGGAAGGCAGGTCTTTTGGAGGCGAGCGCAGAAGGGGGGAGGAGGAAAGGGGCGTGTGTGTGTATGTGTGTATGTGTGTGTTGACGCGAGAGGAAGGCAAGCCCAGCGCTCCTTGAGCGAGCCTCGGACGGGGAGGCTTTGTGGAGCGCCGCGTTCGCCGCCCGGCTCTCCTGCAGCAACAGATGAGCTCTTTTGGGGAGGGACGGCGGGTCGGGCGCCTCCTCTCCTCTCTCCCCCCCCCCCCCCAAGTGTACGGCCAAGAAGAGCGGGGCCGTGGCGCCCTCTCCCCTTCACCCCTCGGGCGCCTGGCTTTCCCTTCAGGCTGCGGTCGTGCCACCGTCCGCTAATGGTCCGAGGTGTGGACCGAGTGTAGGCGAGCGTGGAAAAAAAAGAGGCAGGAAACCGCCAGCCCCACTTCGCTGAGGGAAGTTTGGAGCTGCGGGTCGAGAACTGGAATCCAAGCCCGCCTCCTTGCTGGATAATTCAGCCCACCGTCGCTTCCTTGCTTTGATTTCTCTCTCTCTCTCTCTCTCTCTTTTTTTCACCCCCTTCTCCCCTGGAAACTGAACGTTCCAAGCGAACACTTGTTTCGTTTCATTTTTCCTCAGCGATCGTGCCCTGTTCTGCAGCCTGGGATGGTTAATTCCTTCAGGTCAGAAGGCTGGAAGAAATAATAGAGGTGGGTTCTTGGTGTGGTGTTGTATTCAAGTGAAACCTCTACCCCTTTGCCTTAATGGATATCCCATCAGAAATGGCAAAGGCGACCAAACCTGGTCTTGAACCTGTAACCGATCAGCTGTGATGTTGGAACATAGGTCGGTTTAAGTCGGTGCCATTGGATCGGAACTGTCCTGTTTTGCATAACTGAATGCAAGTTGTGAAATCCCTCTGGTGACAGTTAAGGTGCCTCTTGCTGTCTGAGATCTTTGAATGTCTTTGTGTATTTTTCTGTGGATTCCACATGTTGCTTCCCAGAGTTCAGTGTAGAGCATTTCAGATCTGAAGCTCACCCGGTGGCTGGTCTCAGAAGTGTAGGCTAGCATCCAAAATGGATAGGCGGAGGCACTGTTCTGTGCAGTGTAAAACCTTCAAGAAACGAAGAAGGCTGTACGCAGGGCGGCTCTGTGTATATTTCCGTGTATTTTATATTTAAGTCCCGCAGAATTCAGTAGAGTGTATTGTGCACTCACTTGGAAGTGAGCACCTCGGAACACACTGGTACTTGCTTTGGGGGGGGGGACGGAAATGCATAATTTCTGTTGTTAGGCTTTGATTCAGAACCTATTTGCTATTGGTCTGTGGTTCTGAAATAAGTGGAGTCTTAATTCACACAACTAATCTGTGTAGTACTCTCGATAATGCAGTTCCTTGAAGCTCCTGATGGGGATGTGCTTCTCTTTCAGGAAAAAAAATGTGAGGAAACAGATAATTTTATACTAATACAGCCTTGGAAGTGTCGAAGATTATTCTGAATCTCAGGTTTGCCATGTTTTTACATGATTTTGAGTAGTGTCCTCTGTCTCTGTTTTTCTTGGATGTGTTGGGATTTTGGCAATACCCTTCTTCTGAAGTGAGTTCTCTTGAAATCAGTCTGTTTAGAAGGAAGGTGCTAGGAAAAGGTTTGTAAAAAGTTCCCAGAAATGTTGTGTGATATGAAAGGAAATTGACAGGATGTGTAGTGCAGGGTGTTTTCTCTGCTCCTCTGAGTTTAGCAGTCTGCTCTTGCAAATGTGTGTCAACATGTAGGCTTCCTCCTGAGTATGCACAAGTTTTGGGCTGCCATCCTGTACCCCTGTGCTTGGGACTGAGCCTCACTGAACACAGCTGGACTTGCATCTCAGTTAACATGAGCTGAGATCAAGATTAATGATTTAGTTTACGTTGTCCTAGTTTCCAGTCCATGGCTACCACATCACATAATTTACATGTGTGGACGAGAAATTAGGAGGAGAGATGAAACCTTACATTTGTATCTAAATTATCCTTTATTCATACTTATTGGTTGAGTGATGTATTTCAATAATAATATTCTTTATGGGCAAATCATACCGGTGTGTCTCTGTTTGATAAAGGAGGGCTGGGTTTTTTATTTGGTAGAGTGTCTGGAAGATTATTTCTTCAGGAAATGTTCTTAGTTATTTAGAAACAAAACCTTCTCTGATGGCACTTGCTTTGGACCTCTGAGCAAGCTACTACAAATGCAACAGTTCAGTATTGTCTGACTGTTCCCTTGTTCCGTGTGCAGTTTGGAAGTCAAGCGATGAGAACTTAAAATTGACTTTGAGGAGGTGCGTTGTACAGTGTTACGGATTCTTGATCCTGCTGTGTGATGTGGATTCGCAGACTTTACTGCAGGCTTCTGTAGAAAAAAAAATTAAAATGTGAATTTATTGCAGGATGTTAAGAATTTATTGGATTCAGAGGGCAAGCAGTGAGGAAGTACTAAAATGAATGAAGACCAAGGAACCATAAAAGGCCTAAAATGCAGAAAGCGAGAATGTAATGAGATGCAAAAGTAGGGATTGTTTCAGCTGATCATTCGTGCTAAAATGCATGGCAGGAGTAGCGCTGGAAGACATTCTTGACTGAAAAGACATAGAGACTAATTTGGATGTAAAATATCATCATTATTCAGAGCTTCCCCATCCAGCTCAGAGTAGGTATAACAATATCCAATCCCTGGTAGGAGATAAATGAGAAGCAGAAGCAGATGGTAGAATGAACTTAATACGGTGTATCTGCCTTAGGTGCAAGTGGTCTGCCATAACAGATTTGGGAACAGTGACTATTGTTCATGGTTGATGTGGGACTGAATTCTGTTTTTTTATGGGAACTGGCATAAATCAAATGACATAAATCTTAGTGGCAAATTGCTGCTACTTAAGTAGTCCGCTCTTGTATTCCTCTTCACACACCAGATCACACAACTGGTGTGCAACCAGGAGCACGGTCACCAGCTCCTTCACTAGCAGCAGTTCACTGCTGAAATTTAAAGTGTTTGAGTTACACTGGCACATCTAAGTGACAGGGTTTTGGTAATCAAAAGAAAGTAAAATCAGGTACAATTTAGGCATATGTGAAATCCTATTTGTTTTTTTAATAGAGCCTCACGGTTCAAAACTCATTTGTTGTTAATGTTCCACCAATCAGCTTCAGATTTATGGCAACCCTAGTAGGATTTTTGAGGTTTTTAGATGTTCAAAGGAGTGATTTACCATTGCTGCTCTCCTTTCAGTTTCCATGGGTTAGGAACAATTTGAATCCAAGTCTCCTGAGGCCTAGTCTATCCACTATACCCCATTGACTTCACTGTCTTAGCTATGATCAAAAGAATAGCTTGAGTGGGTAGAACCAGAACAAAATGTTCACTCTGGAGGTAAACCCAATTGCTTACTGTCTTTCATTGGCATACACTATAGGTACTGGTATATATTTACATTGAAGTTACTGTGAAGACACCAACCATTTCTCTCTCTGTCTCTGTGTGTGTGTGTGTGGGGGGGCGCGGTAGGGCAGTCTTCTTGTTGTTGTTCTTACTTGCTTGAGAGCAGAATCCCTGATTTCCTGGAAGATATGGAACAGTTTATAAGTAGATCCCATCTATTGTTTGCCCACCCTTGATTTAAGGACTCTAATTTATTCTACTATTGACTGTTTCGAAGCTGTTTTATCTTTTTTGTATCTTGGTAGTGTTGTAATCTGCTTCTCAGTTATTAAAACATAAAATAAAACAGCCTGTACTGGTCCATAAGAAAAATGCCAAAATCTACAAATGTGTGATATCTTTAGTAGAACGGAGCAGAAAGGCATAAAAGAGTATGAACAGACTTTTGAGATCTCCAGATCAATTTAACAGGTGCATTGTTGGGCAGAGCAGAGGTTCATTTTCACATATGTATTTGTAATATAAATATGATGAAGTGATGTAGGTCTGGTCCAATAGACTTGTAGAGTTTTAAATCTCAGTTGGGAAGATTACGTATGTGTTTCATGGTGCAGTCCAATGCATGTTTACTCAGTTCCTTCTGAGTTCAATGGAACTTACAAAACAGGCCATTATGCTTTGGATTACAGCCCAAATCACTTCTTTTTAAAATTAATGTTACTCCAAACTGCTTAACCTTGGCAGGATCATACTTATATATTTTTAGTATTATGTTAGTGTTTTTCATATTTTTTGGTGTACAGCTTTTTTTGGGGGGAGAAATGTCCAATTCATTTGTAATAAGTTTCTAGAACTCTTTGGAGTTTTGAATGTCATTATTCTTGCAGCTGGAGCACCATTAATCAGATTCTTCAGGAAGAAATTGTGTTGTAGAATTGTATGTGAGGACACAATCTTCTAATCTTAAGGCTTGTCGGCAATATTTATCATAACTGAGTGTGTTGGAAGATGAAGAGTATAATGGTGCTTGTGAGAAAAAAAAGAATATTCCTTGCAAATATGTTTTGGTGATTATAGTGCAATGACTTTTTTTTTTTAAATGTAACTTTGTAGTTTGTGGTATTGAAGATTATGTAGACTAAAGTAGTTATAAATCAGGTTGTTTTTCTTTTGTAATTGTTGGAAAGATCTGTGAGAACCTGAATATACTCTAGAGCAGCAATTCTCAACACGGGCCATGCCCCCACCCCCCGGGGACCCTGGCATGTTTGAAGGGAGCTGCAGACCGGAAACAATTCTTCATTTACCACCTTATAAGGTTTGTTATGTGAACCTTATACACCTGATTCGGTTTATATTTCTTTCATATTGTGTTTATGGCCTTGGCAAAAAAAATAAGGTTGAGAAGGGGTGCTCTAGAGTACGATGGGGATTGTGAAGAAATCTTGCCAGTTTCTCAGTGTCTTACTGAGGCAGGCTATCTCAGACCACAGAGAGAATTTGTAAAGGCTTTTCCAGCCTCTTAAAGAGTTGTGAGCTCACTCCAGTGTGAGAATGAGATGCTATCACCTTTTTCTATGTGTGTGTTGTATGTTGCACAAAACACAGCAAGCAAAACTAGCTCCTTCTCCTAAGTACACACAAACACAGAACAAGCACAATGGACAGGCTGAGTGATTTAAAAAAAAAATACAGCTCGGCCAGTCCTATTGTGTTTGCTAGCTTATGGAAGAAGAAAACATTTAATAAACTTTCTAGTAACGCACATTTTCCAGAGATGTGCAAAAACTAGTCTTCCAAATATGCAAAATTTCTCTGATACTGTCGATAAAATTCTCACTATCTCTAACAACGAGGATTCAAGTACTGTACATCTTTTTATCTACAGTACTACACAAGAGCAAAACAAGGCAGCATTTACATTTGTAGAGCAGGGGGTGGTCAGTGGTGCCCTCCTGTTTTGTGTTTTCTGACTGTATCTGCTACAATTCCTCACCTGTGGTTCTGGTAGCTAAGTGATGGCCATAAACATCTGGAAGGCCAGAGTTGCCCATTCCTTTAATGATTGTGTGTCCCATTCTAGTAGCAAGCACTTCTGCTTTTGGAAAGGCGAGGCATCTGCTTTCTACTGCCCCTCCCTGCCCCTGCAATATACAATATCTTGGTCCCAGAAAACCTATTTTTGCACATGTGTCAGGAGGTGCTCTGGAACAGTATGGAATTAGTCATGGAGGGTTATAAAGGGAATTGGCATACGTCAGGTGTTTCGCTTTGTTATTTTTGGGATGTCCCAAAGGTTATTTCTTTTGTACTTAATTGAAATAATTGACAGTTGCTGCATTAATTTAAAAGAGGGTAGGAACTGAAATATTTTTGCATCATATTTATAGAGGCAGTAATCTACCGTCTACATCATTGTTGTCCAGCAGTATATAGAAGGCCAAATGTTCCACGCCCCTATGTTTCTAGGTTCTTTTTAAATTGGTAGTTTGTGGGTTTCCCAAAGTAGACGTTCGCTATTGTACTGTTAGTTTGTGCATGTCTTTTTAGTAGTTAAATGTTCAGACAATTGTAAAGAAACACTTACTTAATTTGCCTAACATATGTAAATACAACTATATACAATTATTGTTTTCACCTACCCCTGGAGTTCCTTACATGACCTTCCATCCATATGTTAGGCATGCAGTGGTCATGTTTCATTTACCTCTAACTACTATGGTTTCTGAAGAATCACATGATAAAAGGTCTGTAAGGCAGACTGGTCTTACGTATGGCTTCTGTAATTTTCGCTTTTATTGAAGACCACATGAGATGGAACCAGGAAGCTGAAGAATGCATGTGTGTGAAAGGTTTTTTTTAAAGAAAAGACTGCTGTGATACATGCTAGTCCAGCAAATGCAGTGTACAGAGAAAATGTGTTGCTTTGGATAATTATCTAGAAGGGCTGCAGTAAGGTTTCAGTGTATAATATCCAGCAGGGGAATAATATACAGTATACACAATCTCCTGTATTGTCTTGTTGAAGCCCTCAAATGCTACATGTATACTGCCCTCATAAATGTCCATTACTAAATCATAGGTTTATCAACTG